AAGAGCTAGCATTTTCTGAGGGGTGCCCTGAGTTTAAAAAGGGTGAGAACTGCTGTTACAGAAGGATAGGAATATAAAGATCCTGCATGCAAGTCAATGCCTGTTTCAAAATATCACAGTTACACTACTTTTATCTGTAGTAAGTGCTGCTCTATTTTTACTTGAAGCAAATACCTTCTCCAAACTTAATTGTATTGACTATGTTCACACTCAAACCAATAAGATCCTTCAGTTACTATAACTCATTTATATACAAAGACACAGTGGGCCAGATTCTGCTCTGTTATACTCATAGGCGACTGGTGCCACCTTAGTCGGGGGGGGCACATGCCCCCCCACCAGCGACCAGTCAGTGACCCAGGGAGGGGAGGGGAGGGGGGACAGGGGAGCTCCTCCACAGCCAATCTCACCAACTGGGAAGCAGCCACGGCGGTCCTGGAAGTGGCCGTGGAGCTCCCGGAAGTGGCCGTGGCATACTCACTCCCCGGCCAGCTCTTGTAGGAGAGGCACCAGTGCTCCCACCTGCCACCCCCCGCCCCCCCGCTTGTTGCCTAAGCGGGGAACACAGCCTGTCAGGGGGTGCACCAGCACTCTCAGGGGGTGCACGTACACCCCCTACGCATTGCCACTGGTTATACTCCTGAAATCAGTGGGCTGTCTCCAGCCTTACAAAAATATACAGAGAACTGAATTTGGCCCAAGAGATGTATATGAAAGGATAGGCTTTTTCCCCCCCTACATTTTACATGGCCAAATGCTTCACACAACTGCTTCCTTCCAGACTGCACAAGCTTGTGCTTATTTTCCAGGCAGGCATTATTAAAAAAAAGAATTCATCCCATGTTTGCTATTCAAAGATGGGAAGTAACTTTATATTTAGAGAACAACAGAGGTGCAGATGACACTTACCACAAAAGAAGGAGGCAGAATCAGGCATCCCGATCCTGAAATCCTCCTTCGTATAAACGATTCTTCACACATGTATGCAGCCCTATCAAAAGCACTAGGATTAGGGTTGCAGATTAGGCCCTATGCTGAAAATGGTCATGTTTTACTAAGAGAAGTTAAGAAGGACATTTCTTTTCCTTTCTGCTTAGGTGCTTAGAACTACAGCCAAACAACTTAAAAGCTCTGATGGCGTTGGCTGTAAGTTACACTAATACTGGCCATCAACAAGAGGCCTATGGAGCTTTAAGAAACTGGATAAAGCAAAACCCAAAATACAAGTATCTAGTGAAGAGCAAAAAAGGGTCTCCAGCACTTACCAGGAGAAAGTCTAAACCAGCAGATGAAAGGTTAGTATGGAATATTGATTATATCTGAGAAGAAAGGGCGTTTATACACATGCTCCGAGAATGAGGGGGGAGGAAGAGGGGCACTTTAATTAAAGCTGCTCTAATTAAAGTTCCCAGAACATTATGTGTATCATCATCCCCATGCTGAGAAATGTTGGCAGGGTGCTTTAACTAAAGCTCATCCAATGAGCTTTAAAGTGCCCCCGCTGCCATTTTTCAGCACAGGGAACCTGTGGACATTTCCAAGTAATTCTGAAGTATGTTATTCTGCCTGGACATAATCCAGAGACCTTTGATGATGAGACCCTTTCATAGAGCCTACCTTGGATTTAGGAGTCTAAAAATCTTGGCTTAGGACTTCAAAATCTTTATCTAAGCCTCATGAACACTAAGCCCACTATTTTTGCCAACCTTGTTCCCTCAGTTTAACCTCAAGTGAAGCTCCTCTTCCATTACTTGGTTCAGCAGGTAGAACTGATCCAAATTAAAAGCTCTTACAAGCCCACAGTATACCTATACCCGAGTTTTCAGCTGCACTTTGGCTTAGCACTGCAGGTAAACTTTTGAACTCCACTGAGACCTCAAGCAGAGTCAAAAATAAGTCTTTGCTATACTTACAATGAAGTTGCCTATTTTCACATTTCAGGAGCACGCAAAATCTCATACATAGTTTAAAGATGTGAAATGCTGGCTGTGCAGTAAATACTGCTGTGCTTACAAAGAACGTGCAGGTGAAGTCTGGTCTTATTTTTCACTCTCATCTAGCTTGTTACTTGAAGAAGTGAAGGATTTATACCTGGAGGCAGCTCATCAGAATGGAGATATGATAGACCCTGACTTGCAGACAGGCCTGGGAGTGCTCTTCCACCTCAATGGAGAATTTAACAGAGCAATAGATGCATTTAGTGCTGCCTTATCTGTTCGGCCAGAGGTACCTTTTATGATTTTGCATTAAGAAGTTTAGTTTTACAGGCAACTCATTTTCCTCACTTGAGGCTGACCAGTAATAATGAGACATCACTTCAGCCATTAACATTTTAATACCTGAAATTGAAATGTTAATTATAAGAGTGCCATTTAGAGGCAGATTTATGCATGTCCAATTTCTACCTGGCACTGATTAATTGTACTGGTTATATGAAGTTGCGTATAAATCATGAGTCAGAGCTTCATATAATGTCAATTAACAGAGGATAGAATTATTTTATTTTCTTCCTTACTCCGAAGGAGAAGAATTATTGTATCATTTTGCCTCACACCTAAAGTTTAAAAAAATGTCATTTTATCATCAGGATTATACACTATGGAACCGTCTGGGAGCAACCTTGGCCAATGGGGATCGAAGTGAGGAAGCTGTCGAGGCCTATACTAGGGCTTTAGAAATTCAACCTGGCTTCATTAGGTCCAGATATAATTTAGGAATAAGCTGTATCAACCTAGGAGCATACAGGTAGGTTAAGCATATTGATATTTAAATCTAAAATCAAAATGCATTTCCTAGTTAAAAGGTTCTGTATTATGAATTGTGTTTAACTCTGTTATAATACTGTTATTTTTTTGGATGAATATATGCAAAGTGCTAAGGAAGATGTGATAATATACATTGTTTTTTTGTTTTTTTTTTACAATCTACTCCTCTCCATGAATGCATTGTAAAACACAATGAAACTATTGAAGGGGTAGTGAAAACGTAAAACCTGAGGTCACGAGATGTCCTATCAGAACCTGTGGGATGTTGTACGCTTGGAAACAGGCATGTGCTTACAGGATTTGCTGAATTGGGATGTAAAAAACCACCTTCTGAAGGGAAGCTAGTCTCAAATGCCATCAAAACTTTTTTTAAGGCAACAGGAGGCAATGCAGACAAGGCACTAGGCTGGAACTCAGGAGACTTTGGTTTGAAAGCTACTTGGGAAAAATATCCCTATCAATACATTTCAATAATATCAACATTTGTCATCATCTATTCTTTTCTATTAAATGGTGGTGGAAGGGAATCAAAAAAATTAAAAAGCTGATTTTTTTTAGTGTTTGTTGCTAAAGATTGAAAAATATTACAAAAAAAATGGTTGCTTTACTTGGCAATTTCAGTCAACTAGCAAATTCAATTCAAGTGTCTTTTGACGGAGTTTCACTGGTCAGAAACCAGTGAACATTGTTTTATTTTGTTTTTACTCAAGAGTTTAATTCCTGACTCATTGCTTCCACTGATCTTCTATACAATCCTGTGTGACTCTTCAAGTGGAAATAATATTACTGATTGTCTTTTGCAAAGCTTTGCTATCTACAGATGGAAAGTGCTAAATGTTACATAGGAAGATAGAGACCATCCAGGGCCACACGCAGTCCCCTGTGCACATAGACAAATATTTGTCCATAAGGTTTGACAAGATCATCCCTTCTGACCCCTCTCACAAATCACAGCCACAAAGCATCCTTAAAAATAAATATATCTGCCAGTGTGCCACAGGTAAAGAAGAAAGGGGACAAGGGCACCACCAGTGCCTGGCCATTGGAGTGGTGAGGAACTCATTAGGTTCAAACATACTCGTACAATCCTAGGAAGAAGATCAGAGGAAGGCAAGAAAACCTAAGGTCCTTGCCAAATTGATAGGAGGGAAAAAGTCCTTCCTGGCCCCAAATCTGAAGATCAGCTTGATCTTGAGCAGCTGAGCAAAACCCTTCAGCCAGACACCCGAATTACCTATATTAGCAACAAAGAATTTTAAAGCAGTGCAGGGGGTCTTATCTTCCATGAAACTTGAGACCCAAAGAAACTATCCCCGACTTCAAAAAGCCCAGGATGATTAAGGCAATAACATTTCTGTGCAACATGTGAAACCTCAACAATACAGCACAAGAAACTTCAGATAGAAAGCAAAGCTGACGTGGATTTTCATCGTCTAAGCTGAACAAAAGGCGAGGAGCAAACAATGAATATAATTATGGCATTTCTCATTATTAATGAAGCATAACACGCTGCATCCAGCAGATAAACTGAGTAATTCAAAGAATTAGCTGAAGCTGCACCTCTGCCCACAAAGTTGAAACAAAAATGTCAAAGAAAGGTAGCGGCACATGGGAAATTGCTCATGCCCCACGTTACTGGGAGAGTAAATCAAAAGAAAACGAGGCACAGGACCGTTCCATAAATATCACCTCTAGCTCCTCCTTCCTGTGTTATGATCTGTAAGGCATATTTGTTCCCTGTTAGTAAGTGGCTTTCTGGTACATCTGTCTTTGAGGCACATCCCATACACTCCCTCATTTCACTATATGAATTAAGGGTAAAATACGAAGTCGATATAAAAGGGTCCTAAGTGCCTGAAGTACAGGCAATCAGGACTCATGGTAGGGATGACATCTTTTATTAGACGAAGAAGAGTTTTGCAAAAAATAAATTTTAATTGCAAGCTTTCGGGCACAAACACCCTTCATCAGGCATTGGAGAAAAGATCGTAAAAGTTCTGCTGGGTAGAAATGAAAGTTCATATTTTATAGGATTTCACAGAGGAGCCAATAGATGGAAAACTCCTCTGAGCAGTCAGTTCATAGCTGGTATGGAGCATCTTGCCTCCTGTGAGGATCTGTGATGATGCAAATTACCTTAAAACAAAGGCAGGAACAGGATTTCAGGTTTCAGGTGGACACAGTTGCTTCCTGCTTGGGAAAATATGAAGATTTCATTTTTTTTTTTTAAATCGGCTAAAATTCGATATCTTCCATGTGTCAGGTATCCAGGTTGTAGCCGGATTGGTCTAGAGGAAAAGGCAATCAGTACAGGGGCATGTTTATAATAAAATATTTCGTGACCACAGGAATTTCTCTGCGCCAGAGGTGCTAGCTATAAATTTGGGGGCCCCAAACAAAACTAGGGTGGCAGGGAAGGGGGACAAACGCGCCTTTGTCACAGCCCTGTGCTCCCACCCCAGCCGAAGGAGCCCTGTGCCACTCAGCTGTAGGAGTTGGGTGCGGGAACGCAGCAGAAGCAGCCCCAAGCTGCCCGGCCCTAGAAGCTGAGCTGGAGCAGCCCTGTGCTGCCTGGCCACGGGAAGGTCTTACCTGTGCGGGGGATTTAAAGACCACCCCCACTGTTCCTGCCTTGTCCCTGCACCCAGCTCCTGTGGTTGGGCAGCATGCGGCTGCTCCTGCCATGTGCCGGCACACAGCTCCTATGGCCGGATGGTGCAGAGCTTCTTCAGTTGAGCTCCTGCGATGCAAAGGGCAGGGCTGCTCCAGATGTAGCAGACTGGTGGGGAAGGAATAAGTTGGTGCCCAGGGCTGGTGCCCCTGTTGCCTTGCCTAGTTCTGCTACTGCCCTGGACCCGGTGCCGGATTACAACATGCTGAGGCCCTAAAATGCGTCCAGTTTAAGAGGCCCCATATGAGAACAATAACCCACGAAATCCAAAAAAATGGGTTTTCATGAAATTTTAAGATGAATTATTGTTATTTCTGCACAAATTCATGAACTCAGTATCAATAATAATTATTTTGTCATATTGGAATGGAAATGTCCAGGTTTTTGTTTTCTTTCTTATTTAGAGGCCCCTCGTACTGTGAGGCCCTAAACTGTAGCTTAAGCAGCACTGCCTGGACCCTTGCTTTGGCTTGAAGCCATTTGCTAATTATATCAGTAAAGGCTCATCAGCAAGCAACTGAAAAAAGGAGTAGGGCAGATCCAGCAAGAATAGTATGAACAGAATTGTGGTCAAACATAGTCAAATAATGCATCTCATTTTATACCAATGCCACAGAAGGAAGACAAAAAATATATACCTCATTTTTAAACACGATAACGTTGTGATGTTTGTATGTTGCCTTTCTTTCTTCCCCTACAGGGAGGCTGTCAGCAATTTTCTCACTGCTCTCAGCCTGCAGAGAAAGAGCAGGAATCAACAGCAGGTTCCCCATCCTGCAATATCAGGTAATATCTGGGCAGCTCTCAGGATCGCTCTTTCTATGATGGACCAGCCAGAACTATTTCAAGCTGCTAATGTGGGTGACCTGGATGTCCTATTAAGAGCCTTTAACTTAGAGTTGTAATCTATATATATCTATAGATATAGCTCTGGAGGCACCCAGTTGTCCTGGAAAAAACAGAACTCTTTTCTTATCTGTTTCAAGATGACGAAGGACATTTTCCAAAAGGCCATGGCCACGGCACTTTGGGGGGGCATTTCCGAGACATTGCCCAATTCCTGGAAAAGTTCAAAAGCACAAAATATTGTAAATAACATCAAAAACTCAGATGAAGGAGTAATATGGACAGCAACTCATCTGACAAAGATGTGACTTAGATGAAGTAGTCAGACCTGAAGAACCTTCATCCCATGCAAGCTCTCTCTCTCTGTATGCACACCTATACAATGAGAAATATATCTAAGAGCAAATCTAGATAATCTTTATTGCATAGTTGAGTGGCAAATCCGAGGAACCTACATAGTAGCTCATCGCACTAAATTGACACTGCACTGCCCTATTTGAAGTTACTATTTTCCCCCCCCCTGTATTTTCCAGTTTATCTAAAGTCCTTCTACTACATAGGCCTGCAAGCAGGTACACAGGTTAAAAGTATTTTTTATTATGAATATACATTAGCTGGAGGTGAACAAGGACTTTGTCTGTAAAGAGACCTTGGTTGAATTTTACTGGTGGGTCCACCTCTACAGACCTTCAAGATAGAAACCCCATGGAACTCCAGGGGAGTGCTGCATATGGAGGGCTTGCAGGACTGGGCCTTTTAGTCACTGGAGAGATGAGCTTTGCAAGCAGTAGCAGTAATTTGCACTTGAATTTCTGTTGTTGATCCTTTTACCCCAATCCTGCAAAGAGTAAGAGTGCATCTCTATGGAGTGCCTGGCAGGATGAGTGTCTGTGTATGACATACGCACTTTAATCTTTCCTTTTTATGCTATGATTTTGGGGGTTTTTTATATTTAGAAATGAAAACTGTAATGCTATAGCCATGTTGGCATAAAGGACCAAATATAACTTGAAATGAGAGTTTTCCAGAGCCTAGTGTTTGAAATATTTAATTGATTACCTCAAGTGAATAAAACATTTTGTTATCCACGTACTGGTAGCATTACACATACAAAGACTGTACAGATTAATTGGCGGTTGGTGTCATCTAAGGAAAAAAAATGTATTCCTGCAGAAAAAAAGGAAAGGTTTTTTAGGAGCTGATGCCATCAGACCCTACTCAGGAAAACGTCCATTGAAGAGAGACAATTTTCCTGAATAAGGACTTAGAAACAAGGCTTGCTGATGCTCTCACTGCAATCATTGGCAAAGCTCCCATTGATTTCACAGTGGCCGAATCAAGCCCTTAGTTTGCATCAGTGGTTCTAACTACAGTACTAAGAACCACTCAATCTGTGAGGTGCTGAGTGCTTCCTGTGAAATACCAGACACCTTCAACTCTGCCCGATTTCCAGGTGAGTTGATCAACACACACTAGAGTTGAGTGCAGTGAAGACCGATGCTGAGTTGAGCACAATGCACATCAATGCTGGGTTGACTTGGGTGCATTGCACTCTGCTGCTTGGGCTGGAGTTCCCGAGTGTAAAGTAATCTTCTGTTTGCACAAAAGGAATCAGAGACAGGTATATAGATTTCTAGAGTTCATTTTCAACTGTTAATATTTTTTGTATTTTTCTTAAATGGTGAAAAAGCATGTTTTACTTTAAAATTGTACTGTACTGGTTTGTATTCAGAAAAGAATTGTACAGGGTAGTGCAAAAGTTGGGAAAACAGCACATTTCTCAACATTAAAACCCCCACGGATTGTATCAAAAAGCCGATGCACAGATTTTACAGAGAAGGGGCTCTTTAGGTGTTGAACAATTTCACTAGGACAAAGTCAGAAGTTTCTTAAAGCTGATCCTTAATTTGAGCAATCACTTCAAGCAAAAATTCCATAGAAGATATTCTAATTACAGCATTTAATTAGCAAGAGTAAGCCACTAAACAAGAACCATCTAGTTATGGTTTATCAAAGACCCACACAGACACCACAGAAGAGAGATACTGATAGATTTTTAAATAGTCTTTTAATAATTCATTATTAATATGAATTGTTCTTTACTAGTAAGAGTATATTAACAGATCACTGCAGTTTTCCTTTAAGTACTGGGTACTGAAGGCTGACTAGGAAAATTCATTTTAGTGCAAGAGGGCTTGCTGAAGACAGATCAGCTGAAAGCAGTTTGGTTTTGCTTTGGCAGTGATGTGTGCTGACAAACCTTAGGTACCACCAAAGCTGAGCAGAAGGCACAGTGCAACTGAAACCTGGAAATTGTGGATATTGGTGGTAATTGAGGACGTAGGCAGCTTTGGAGACGGGCAATAGGGCTAAAAGCATAGAGATCGGGTCTAGCTTGTTGCCCTGCTATCACACAAGTTCTTCCAGAATATCTTCCGTGCTGGGATGTAGGATAGTTCCCCGACACTTATCCAGTAGAACTGGCTATTCGGGGGGGGTTATTTTTATGCCTTTCTAATTAAAAAACATAACAGCATCTTCACAGAGCTAAAACAAGGAGGGTCATTTGGAAGTGATGCTACAGAGCCAGCCTTGCTTTCAGGATTGTGAAGTAGCTGATTTGTTTTTAGTGCAGGACCTTAAATGTATCTCACTGCTCTCAGCCACCAAACAAGGAGCAGGAAAAGGGGGTATTACTTGAGTTAGCAGGGGACACTCGGCTCAAAGCTGGTTTGCCCGTGCACAGCTGACGGGAAGGGGAACTGCCTGCATCCATTAAGACTATGTCTATTGAACACATGTTTATTGAATAAACTGGTGCCGAGGGTTTTAGCTGTGCTGCTTCAGGCAGGCTGTTTCCTAAACCAAAAGCAACATAACCACTGCTCTGTGGTACTGCAGGCAGGCTAGTTAGCATGGCTAAATGACAGCACCAATTAGCCTGTCCTAAACTAATTAGCACGGATACAGCTACATGGGTTCTGCTCTGTAAAGCTGCCTACCTGGAATAGAGCAGTATGTTCCAGCATGCCAGTACTAGCCACCGTGTTTTCAGTATAGACGAGTGGATCTCAACCTTTGTAGACTCCAGGCACCCCCTCACTGGACTCGAGGCACCCCTTGAACTTGTATGAATTGAGTTTCAAAAACTATCTTATGTGTTACAGTGCTAACCTCCCTGCAGAAGAGCCAGGCAGTGGGGACAAGAGATGAGCCAGGCAGCAATGTGTCTGCATCTGTCTCCTTATATCCTCACACATGGCATTCTCCTTGCACCGCATGGCACCCAGGTTGAAAATCACTGGTAAAGATATAGCCCTAGAGATATATACAGTTGGGGAAATAGGTATGTATACCCCCAACTTGGCAAAAGCACTTCAGTTCATCTGTGAAGGAGGGTATAGGCTATAGAGTTCATCCAATAGACTACACAGCCCCTAAGAGGCTTCAGCTGTGCATAGCCAGCAGACCCCCAGCTATATAGATCTAGTAGCCAAATCTCTGCACGGAGGATGGGCTGAAGCAGATATAGCAGCTGTTTCAGGTGGCTTCACTGGTAACCGCTGAGCAGCACCACTGGCATTTTATGCCTTGTCCCTAAGGTTTTGAGAAAGACAACTCAGGCTTCTTCCATGTGGGCCTGAACATGAATGTGGTGAGTGGGAGAAAGCGGAGCTACCGTAGAAAAGAGAAAACACATGTAAGAGAGTACAAATTTAGTAAGAAATTGTTGGAAAGGAGGAGATTCAGAAAAGTATGGAGGGGAAATAAGCTCAGCAGGAGTGAGTGATTATGGACAGGAGAGAGGCAATGGCAGGTACATCAAGGTGCAGTACTGCAGAAGGGGGTGGGAGGAGTTGTCCATCTACTAGTCCATCTCCAGAGGCCTCCAGCAAGGTGCTGGTTTGTAGGGTAGTGCAGTTCTTGACTGTATACCCCACTCAGCGGTACAGGCACTGAGGAGAGGTTGATTCAAATGCAGTCAGGACAACAGGTATTTCTCTGGAAATCATGGTATATTTTCCTTGCATATTGATAAGTGTCCCTGTACCTTTGACAGCACTGAACAAACACATGGGGAAGCTGGTACATCTTGATACTGGAGGAGGAGAACGCACAGGGATTAACACTGCAACAGCATGAGGCAGGATATACAGGAGAGCAGCCAAAACGTAGCCAGAGAACGACAGTTGAGTTATCTGGAGTCTGGTGCTGATGCTCTGTGAGAGCTTCAGCAAGTCGCAGCTTCCTTCGGCCTTAAATTTACAAAGAGTGCAAAAGCAGAGGGGAAATAATGCTCATCCCCCACTTTGTGATACCTCTGGCTGCAAAGCCTCAGGGGTGCAGGTATTGTTATCTGCACCTTTTGTTGCGCAAGTCATTATTTGTGTAAATTGAGAAAAAGCTAAAAATTATTGTTGAGACTGCAGTGAGCCCAGTTGCAATAGGAACCAGCCGTTTCACGCAGACACTACTGCCTTTCTCAGCAGATATGTTGGGGTCGGGGCCTGGGAACAGGCATCGGATCCAACGTGCTAGTGATTCTTTAGCTTATCTTGAGCCCACGCTTTCTGCTTCTCCTTCTTGTTCCTCTCCCCTTTCTCCCAAAGTGATTCATCCCAGCTGCGGTCACTAGGTCCAAGATTTGAGCCTTTCCTCTCTGGTGCATAGTTCATGCCATTTAGTAAACACCTTCCTAGCCACTCACCCTGACTTGTGTTGTTTAAACCCCTTCCTAGCCACTCACCCTGACTTGTGTTGATCCCTTTGCTTTTAGAGTCATTGCAGCAAGTTATCCTAGGTGAGGTAGAGGAGGCTGGGGCCAGCACTGGACTGGCCCTGGCAGCCTTACCTGGAGTCCTGGGGTCATCCCGGGGCTGTACCTGCAGTGCTCCTGCCGGGCAGAGCCTGACTGGCAGCTGCAGCACAGCTCCAGGAGGCCCAGCTCTGCTTTTCAGCAGCACACACTGCCCATGCTTGCGCTGCTCCTATTTTTTTGCTG